GGTGTATCTACTTGATCGATTTCTCTTAGATTGAATTTAATGTTGTCTTTTCCACCTATATCTTGGTCTACCTAATGGTGTTTTGCTACTCGGTTTTCCTACAAATATTATATGTATATGCTGTTATTTCATATCCCATGTGTGCTACGTGTCCCGCCCATTGTAATTTTCGAGCTTTGATTACTCCTACGATGTTTGGAGAATCGTATAATTCCGCCCCCTCAATATTATGTAATTTTCTAAATTCTCCACTGATTTCTACTTAACACTATACCGTTCGCACGTCTAATCGGAATTCTTTAGTTTGGCACCGGTAGGACTGACCCAGATCATTTTGTTTTATCGCCAGTTTTTCGACTCTACAAGACTTACACATTAAATTTTGTTTTTCTAATTTTTTTGTTTTGCGCATGGCCCCAACGTGTAGCCACCGGACGGCACAGTGTTAGTAAATTCTTTATTTCATTCAAATTTTAGATTGGTTATTCTTTGCTCTGATTTTTTGTCTATCGGTAATCTACTTGTAACCTTTCTTTTTGGTTTTTTTTTTTTTTTTTTAGTAATATTGAGATTCTACCTTTTTTATCTGGGTTAATTAGGGTTTTTTTTTGCATGTTCCATTAATATTTCTTCCTCATCTACAACTACATCTACATAATCTCCAAAGGTTATGGTTTGTATAATTCCATTCCACGTCACGCCTTGCTTCCTTTCCAATATGAATCGTATTACATATTCTAGGACTAGGCATAGTCAAGCTTTATGAATAATAATTGCACTATTATGTATCTCGTTAATTTTAATACGTATTAATTACCGTTTGCAAACGTTGCTATTATATTCTGCAATTGTAATGTTAACATTTGTTTTTATTTTCGCTGTATTTGTTCAACCGATAATCATGATATTAATTAATACTTGGAAAGAGAAATTAAATTCTCGTGCGAATAAATGAAGAAAGAAAAATAAGAATGAGAGAGAACGAGATATTAACGATCGATGGATGTTTGAAAAAACAAAAAAAAATGCAAAGTAATTCGTTAGCGGAGGGACAATTTATCAGCGATGAGCTGAAATGAAATAGAGAAGCAAAGAGAAAAAGCAAGAATAAAGGAAAGCGAGAGAGAGAGAGAGAGAGAGAAAGGAATAGTTCGTTTTCGAGCTTCGTTAAACTGTGAAAGTAAATTGAAGTTTATCTCTAAAAGCCAATTTAGTGAATTTCGACGAGTATCGAATACAGAGTCATTCTCTTTCTCTGTTTCTCTTTCTCTTTCGACCTATCGTTAAATCGGAAAATTTCCAGCCATCATTCTCAACGTTTCATTGGTTGTATGTGTACACAGTATGTATACATGTTCGATTAAGTATTATAGTAGTTCTGTAGTGCGGTCAGACAGGTAGCGTGCCGCGTAAACTGAAGAAAAAGATTAAATCTCAATGATGATTTGAAGTATTTCACGTTTTATTTTCATTTGATGTTTTTTCTCTTTTATTCCCTTTTATTTTTTTCTTTTTTTTTGGTTCAAAAAAATAAAAACAATAATGAAAGAAATATATCTAAAAAACGGTCGTAAAATGAAATAATATTCCCTGGTGTATTTTAAGACTTTACAAGGCTTTTACTGAGAATGATAAAAGTCTAGAGAAGAAAAATGGATGAGCGTTGTTTTCCCGATGGTCTGAAAGAAGAGTTCGGTATTCTTATAAGATCCATTGTCCTACACCTGGATCGTGATTCACGTCTTCAACTGATCTCTGAATTATTAAAATTTAGGTCGTTACTACATTCGTTCATTGTTATTGTTCTTTTTCGTCGTAATTTTGAGTGTTACGTATTTATGTAGGATAGTAATATATAAATTGCATAAAAAATACGATTATCTCGAATTCATGTGCGCGATTGTAAACATAACAATTCCATCACGTTGTTTCTGTAAATAATAATTTGAAGAAGTTCATAATGATGTGAATGCAGACACAAAGAATGAATTAATATGCAGTTATGGCCAAAGAAAGTAGTATTATTAACAATATATAAAGAACAAAGTTTTGCCCTTAAATCGAATAGTAAAATTTATATGACTATAAAAAAGACAGGTTAAAAAAACTAATAATGTGGTAAGAAATAATATTTGTGATATGAAAGATATTATAACATATGTAGAAACTTATTTTGCTATGTATTATCAATTTAATGATTCTTAAAACTAAACTTCAATTATCCTATTTACGATAAAGTTTGGTAAAAACAATAAGTTATATGCGACACCATTAACATTTCGAAGGATGCCCGTTATGTTTTTGAGAATATAAAGAAAAATTAGAAAAGAAATAATGAAAATAATAAATAAAAGAGAAAAATATTTCAAGTTGGCAAGCTGACTCACCCGTGCATATTGGCAGATTCGTGAAAAACGCGTCGAAGGAGAATCGTGAAGTAGGGATGGAGGAGTTTAAGAGGCCGAGTGAGAGAAATGACGGGCGTGCACTTCGGCAAAGTTTCGAAATAATACCTCTGCCCTTCTTCTATCCCCTTTCCTATCCTCTCGAATGGTTCGCCTCTTCAGTCTGACACATTTCGGGAAGTCTTATCGCCTGCAGCTAACAACTTGAAGAATATTGCACCGGCGACCCGCGCCGTGCCGTTCTCGTCCTCGTCGTCGTACACATTTCGTTCAACACTTTTCCCTATTCCCATGTAAATTGCGAGTGTCAAGAGTTATATATTTTTCTCTGTAAGAATAGGAAATTGGTTGCGACGGACTGATGTAATACGATTTTTTTACGCGTTGTAGTTGATATTTCGTCTGTGTTATAAATTATTATCTATCGCGTATTTCTTTTTCTTTTACTTTTTGGAAATTACATTTTTCTTAGGAGGATATTGAAAATTTTCAAGTTAAATACAAAATAATAAAAGGTTTTGTGGGGAGAGTATTATTTGAATTGTATGAGAGAAACAGGAAAATATCGATCGGACAAGGCTTGCAGGAGATTACAGGGCAAGGGGATACAAGACAGCCGCACACTGAGCACAAACAATTGAAAGCGCAATTACTCGCGACTTTAGTTTTCTAATATGTATTAAAAAACGGGCTTTAGTTTGTTCAGAACTTTTTGTTGCTATAGTTATAGACACGCTCGGGCTTAGCGTCATAGTTGTAGGCTTTTTCTGGACCAGCTCTCTAAAAGAATCACGCTTGTCATTATTCTGTAGAACTTTCACGAGAACACATCTTGAGAAATAACTACAAAGAATTCCAAATTCTGGGATGCCTTGTTAAATGCGAAGCGAGGGTAACTTATCGAATTTAAGTATTTTCAATATCATTATAACCATATTTCATTTTCACATACACACTTACACATGCATTAGCGAGAACCATCAGTTCTCTATATCTATAAATGAAATCCGTATAAAAGAGACCGACGGGTTCATTTTGCTAGCATCATATACAGGAGCGAGACACGCTCAATATTTTCACGTAACCTTATTGAGTTCCTTGTAATAATAGATACAAAATTTAGGGTTTTTTTTTATGTCGTCAAGGCTATTTCCCCCAATGAGCCAACAAATAATTTTATTTTTATGTTCAATCACGACTTTTTATTCGAATTTTATTCTTTACTGCATTAGCTATTCAAAACACGAAAGAACTCCATATTGGAGGAATCTATAAACGTATTTACGAATAGAGAGAAAGAGAATAAAATTAACCGAAAAAAACTCTATTTGAACATCTAAATTTATCACACGTTTTATTTGATCACAAACTCTACTTCAGAAATAATTTTCATCGGATATCGTGAATATATTGTATAAAGATATTTTTTTCTATTATTATTATAAGTTTAATTTATTAACGGTATATATCTTTATATACGAATCATTAAGTTGTATCTTTCTTGTAATTCTTTGCACGTATATAACATAGAGACATGCACGCACATAGTAATTATTAGATCTATCCACGTCGTCAATTTCCTGGAGGTACATTAATCTTCAACAAGCGGTCTTAATTCGGCTCATTCGTCCTTTTGCGCGTTAGATCAACAGAAGGACTCGACGTTAGTGACATTAGGTGGTACTCTCATGTGGACGCGTCAATGGGCATCGCAGAATGAGGAGAATGAGAGAAGAGGGTGAGGACGATCCGCGAGAGAAAGCGTCAACGTGCTTTATGTACATCTCTCTCTCTTTCTCTCTCTCTCTCTCTCTTTCTCTCTCTCTCTCTCTCTTTCTCACTTACTTTACTGTACGTTGGTTAAGCAAGAGGAAGCTTTCCTACCAGAAACAATGATAATGTCAAGAGGAAGGCAATGTCTGAGGCCTAATCATCAGATAGCACGTATGCAAATTTATCGTCATGGTCTTCCTAGCTCCAGTATAACTCATCACATATGCTGATAATATTTGTTACATAGTACTCGTTAACATATTATATATGTACGTGCCACGGAATACATATTTCATAATTTCTTTTTTTATAATTATATATAGGTAGCATAAAATTCTATCTTTATTTACTGTATATATTTTCTGATAGTTAAGACACTTTTTTACTTCGATTTATTGCAATTATTGTATTTGTAAAAATAGATACATTTTGATAATAGAAAGGATAAATTTTAAAATTTCAGTAAATTTTGACAAATACATTAAGTATTATATCATTTTTAGTATTGAAAAATATATTTCGCGAAATACTCAAAAATAGCCTGCAGTAAGAAGTTTCTGTAAGATACCTCGCTTATATTGGGTTAAGGAATCAACGTATTTTCCTTAACTGAAAAGCGCTGAGCTTCCGCCGTGTTAGAGATTGGAGTTTGTTTATACAATCTATTTTTAAAGAGTTAGTAAAAATAGAAGAAAACGTTAGTAAATTTAACGTTAATTATAACATATGTATAATTAATCGTTTTTTTTGTGCGTATATAAGTATTATAACTAAATGAAATTTGACTTCGTCGATAGATAATAAACAATATTGAAATTTTACCTGCGTAAGACGCCACCGTCTGGAAGCTTTTGCTATCGGATCCGTAACTTGAGTGCAAGCTGCACCGAAAAGCATCACCTTGTGTGGCCCGCTATGCATCATATCAAAAAATGCTTTCACACCTACGGCAGCGTTACACTGAAAAGAGAAAAACACAAATGATAAGAAGAAAGTATATATAATATGTTAGTGTTATGTTGTATACTGCAGTTAAATCGTAGAAACCCTAGAACTTACCCGATATAACTAGACGTTTCTGGGAGAGCATATAAAAAAAATTTTATTATGGAATAAAACTAGTAGTTTTTAGGAAATACGGAGGTTATATATAAATTCATAAGAGACGAGTAGCTTAAATCGATATAACAGCACGACTAACAGAAAATCCATTTGTAAAATACAAGAAAAGATAAGAACGGATCTATAATTTATTGTTCGCGTTTACTTTATTTTCGTTTTCATAGTTTTCGAAGGAAACCTAATTAAATTCCTTAAATCAATAGAGAAATTCTATCTTGAGATTAGATAACCTCCACTTGGAAGACCTTAAAACAAAGAAACACATATTTTCTATCTCCGAATTTACAACAGTGCAGCATTGGAGGGTATTGTAACGAAATTGAATAATGTTTTTCTTATCATTTTCTTCTATATATATTTTCTTATTATTCAGATCAAATTTCTATTTCATACCTTAATTACTCGTCTCTTGTAAATTCATATATAATATTATCTAGTGAAAATATGTAATTTTTCTTTCTTTGATATTTAAATAGGTCAGTATAGTTATTTTAAGGTTTTTGCTGAAAATTTCACGAATTAACGGATTTCAAAAAGTAATAGCAACAAATACATATATTTATTCGTGGCCTATTATCATTTTTCTGCAATCGTGTTTAGTGAAAATAAAAATGAAAATAAAAAGAAATAAATAGAAGAAAGACAAGGGAAAGAAAAAGGAAATGAAAAGCGAGGTCGGTTTGACCTCGAGCATTGTAAGGTTAGTTGAGAAGCGTGAATAGGGCTCGTAAGGTCTATCGCTTTTCGTGCAGACTCTGTCGTGCTCCGTTAAATTTGTGCTGTTTTATTTTTATGGAAGAAATATCGGTAGCGCCATCTTAACCTTGGCAGTTAAATATTTTTTGCACCTTTTTTTTTTTCTCCATATTTCTTTAAGAATTGGTAGATTTCTATGTTAATAGTATTTATTTTTATATTTTATCTAATCGTAGTAAATTTTTAACAACTTGATATTTATTACGTCGAGATGTTAAGTGTACAGTGACCTATGTGCTATTCCTTTTTTCGAAAATCTTTCATAAACATCCATAAGAATTAATAGCCATGAGATTCAAAATGTAATGTGTGTATGTACTGGTAATGCACAACCATACTTGTAAAGACCTTACACTTTATCCATTACTTTATGTAATTACAAATGAATATAAAATAAGTTATATAATAAATAGATAATAAAATATAAAAAAATATTTTAAAACATTAAAATAATTAGCCTTAAAAATTTGTTGTTTTTTTTTTAAAAACCTGAAAGAAAGTTTAAAGTTAAAAACCTTGAAAACAAAGTTTAAAAGTCAAAAGCTTTCCTCGTGGGTCCTACGACTTAACTTAGTTTCGAGATCTATGTTAAGCTCTTGCTTACCGCCTCGGGGATTAAACTATACTTTAATTATTTCAACTTCTCAACGATCAAGTGATTCTATGTCAAAGGGTTTTCTAAACTCGACACTATTGTGATAGAAAATATTTTTTAAGTTTACAAATAGATCTTTCAATAGTTAAAGAAGAAAAATAAAACCCACTCATCAAGTTTACGAATTAAACCTTATCTTTTATGCATACTTGAGAAACTCGTTGTCTTTGTTTCTTTTAAAAAAAACATTCTTCATTGACTTTTCTCACTTTGTCAAGCTCGATTACTTTCTTTTCTTTTTACCTATGTAGGTTCGTTTAATTGTTTTCTCTTTTATTGTTACATGTATTTATAGTATACATATGTCTACATATAGGATCGAAATAGTACTGCATATAGTGACGTATAAGTTACATAACTTTTTTTTTTTTACAAGCTTTAGCTGAAGTACCTATTACCAATAGGATTTTGAAATTAGGTTTAACATCTTACGATGAATAATTATATCGTTGCAATTCTATATTGCTGATCTTTCTGAGATACTTTCTGAGATACTTTCTCGAAACTTTCGATACAAAGGCGCATCGCTTTAAAGCTTCTTTGAGATACGTTTGAGAATAATAATATTTCGTTTATTTACGGTTCAATTGTTGAGAAGTATTCAGAGTAAGATTTTACTCCTTTTTCTCTACCTTCTTTGCTTTTATTCATTTCGTCGTCAGTTTGGCGCTGGCAAAAGGAATTTTTATTGTTGAGCGATTCCTATTGATGTATTCTGTAGTATTTCGATGTTTGTATATTAACAATAAGATGGCAAAACGAAAGAATAAGGTAGTAAGGAGTTGACGGTTTAAAAAGAAAAGAGTTAAAGGAAAATTCACAATACGCTGGGAGACTGTTCTTTCAATAATAAACACGCGATAAGAGTGCATTTTGTTTTATAGAAAGAATTCGACGACGAATTTATTAATTGAGTCATTGAAAGCGACATATTGGATGTATTAGTATCTGTATAATCAAATCTTTAGATATTTACTATTTGGTTGAAGTCATAGTCGATGAGTTGCATAATAATGTTATACGTATGTTTTAATCTCTTCATATTTTTGCTAGGAAAATATTAATTTGGCTTAAGAACGAATATACAAGTTTAAGGGGACAATATTTAACTAATACAAGTTTGTTGATTTTGGAATCTAAAGCTAATTATTTGATCTTTAAAAATCTTATTAATAAATATTTATTGATTTGACCAGTTAATAAAATTCAATTCAAAATTGAACAATAATTTTAAACTATACTCATATCAAAGAAATTTGTTTAATCGTAATCTATATTTCCAGTAAAAACATTTAAAGAAATACGATAAATTTTCTCTAGAATGAAGGTCTTTTTATCGAGCATGCATGTTTTATAAGTAAACCGTGAATAGTACAGAGAATAGTAACATAGCGACAAACGGGATACGGATCCACTGATATTTGCATGTAGACACAGGTAAGCCGCATACGCAGTGATGGTCTGGGTAAACCAGTGATCCTGGTTCCCTTTCCCTTCCACCCTCTTCGACGATGACGACCTATTCAACCGCAGAATGACATCGTTGACCAGAGTCCCTAATTAACGACAAAGGTATTCCTGCGTAAGGTAACGCCACTAGCGTTCTCTATGTCACATGGAATTAGCGCTATGCGTAATTCCACTAGAGAGAAGCAAGAGAACAAAGCACCCCTGATAGATAGATAGCTACCAGTCACGATAACTCGATATTTTTTCCTTTAGGATGTAAGTACTCTCTTACGGGTTCATGTATCTAACAAAAATAAATTCAAAACACATATATTCGATATGGGTTGTATTATTTTGCAGTATAAACAAATTCAATTCTGTCTCTCCTGTTAACATATTTAAGGACTCTTCTGTCAATCTCTTTACGATACAAAGTAAAAGAGAAGGATAAAGAAAAAGCGGAAGAGAAAAAGGAAGAGAGAAAGAAAGTAAGTAAAAAGAATAATGAAAACTCGAAAATTCACTTTAACAGCATTGTCGTGAGTAACTACTAAAGTTTCATTTTTTTTTATTAACGATAAAAATATATCTAAAAGGAATACAGAAACCTTAGAGGATAAAGATAAAGAAACAATGTGAAATGAAAGAAAGTCGAAGTACAATGACAGTTATAATTCGATTTCGATTGAATAAAAAGACATTGAAAGAATGTTTAAATTACATTTTATCCTCTCGCAACTACTCAAGATGGGAAAGTAACTTTGTTTGCAAAGAGAAACAAATAAAACGAATTCCCCTCTGACTAGTAACAGTGACAGCCTAATATTCGTCTTTTTCAGTTCTCGCCCATTTTTACCCTCAGGGCTGCTTGTCTTCTTGCTTGCTTTACTTTATACGGTTGGTGGTAGCCGTTGGTGAAGTGAAAAAATGACAAGAATAGGTTAAGTATGGTCTTTTCTCACTCCTCTCTTTCTTTTTATCTCTTTCTCACTCTTTCAATCTGGCCAATCTTTGAATGGAACGATGATATATATGTACTTTGCAAACAGGCCCTGAAGTGTCTTCCCTTATTCGTCGTCGTTGTCGTCGTTTTCCAACAGATTGAACAACTTAACGAGACCTCTGTTCCCTTTAATTACCGGAATTATTCGAAAAGAATGCTTTTCTTAAAGTTACTGATGAGATAAATCTCGGTTGGAGCGAATTATTTAAGGGGATGTGTCATATCCATGAAAAGGAATAGGTCATTTTTCGAAGTGAAACTTTTAAGGCGATGGTAACGATCAAATTTTATGAAACGGCAGGAAAAGAAAGGAAGATAGAGAATGGGAAAGAACCCACAGTCGATTTACGGTTGAACGAGATTATAGAAGGTTCTAGGTTAGTGTTGTGTATATGCGCGTGCTTAGAAAATGATACGTCATTATTGTTATGTAATATTAAAGAAAAAATGGAATTTTTAGTTTTCTTTTATCTCTAAATCAAACGTTTTTATAACATAGAAAGACAAATTCTTCTTGTTATTATAATGAATATATTACATATAGTAAACTATGAACGTACTCTAAATAGATATATGTATATATATATATATTGTTAGCGTGACAGAGTACGTTGATAATCAATAAAGCAGTATCGATGACGTGGTAATCGTCTAACAATCTTACTATCGTAACAAGCTAGTAGTGAGCGTTTACATAGAATTACACAAGTTATCTCGAGTCGTGTTAAACGAGCAATGATGATCTTATAAGATCCGCTCGCAACATAAGCCATAATAAAAGGAAAGAGAAAGAGCAAGTATTTATAACCCCTTGTTATATTGTATAATTTAGTTAAATTTTGGAAACACCAGATTTTACAAGAAATAACTCATTTCAGAAAGGTGTTACAGTTGGATGAAGGAAAATAAATCTTGTAATTTCGCATTTTGAATGAATTGACAAAAAATGAGTGACTTGCCGATTTCTTGTATTTT